CCAGGAGTCTTGCATCAGAAAGGGCTCTAAGAGAGAGCTTTAGAGGTCCACTGCCTCCGTGGAGGCAGCTCCCCTTTCCCGGACATCTCCCAGGAAATTTGAAAAATTGCTCTGTTCTGCCCAACTGGGGAGAGGGAGAAACCAGAAGCCTGTTAACAGGTAGCAAGTAGCAAGAAACCAGAAGCCTGTTAACAGGTAGCAAGTAGCAAGCAGTGGGCAGGGGAGGGAGTTGAGGGCTGCCCTCCTGAGAGGCCAAAAAAGGTGGGGAGGAAAGGAGGAAAAGGGGCCAGAGAAGGGTCCAGCAGAGAGGCAGTCCCTGGATGCCCAGCCTCTGCCGTGCTTCTTTCTCTGGACATCAAGAATGGAGGAAACTTGAAGTCGGTGAGTGTCTCCTATTATTTTCCAGGTTGTGTGTCTGGGTGTGCCGTATCAACACACAGTAGAAAACCAAATGGGTTGTACAAAGGTGTAGGATGGTGGAGGGACAAAGAGAAGCCAGAAAAGGGGGTCTCTGCTCAGTCCCACAGTACTGGTACCCAGTGCACAAAATCAGCACCAAGCAGTGCACTTGCTCAGTTGAGCAGAGGAAATAGCCATCTTAGGGGACTTTCAGTTTGCAGAGTGGATTTTTCAACCATGAATTCCATTAATCTTGAAACAGTTCTAGAGATAGGTGGCCATCTTTAAGATGAAGTCCAGAGAGTATCTAAGGTGCACCCAAAGAGCATACCTCTTATGAATCCTTTCCCTGGTGGTGCTCCTCCCCAAAACTTTTTGAACAACTCCTGTTTCGGTGTATTGCATTGTGATGGACTTATTTAGCTCCCATTCTCCTCTGCTAAATTTTGAGCTGTTTAAGAGCCGGAGCCTCACCTTTTTCCTATTTGATCTTTAGCACTTAGCCCATCGTGGGCTGTCAGTACATTTAATTGGCTCTGGTAATGCGTTCAGCTACAGTTGGTCTTGTGCTAGGTGTACTGTTAATCGGGCAGAGTATGCACTGTGTCCTACAGCTTGGCTGTAGTCTTCGTTCTCCTGATTCTTCTCTCATCAGTGTTTTTTTTTTTTTTCCAGCATTCTGCTCATGTGCTTTTCTCCTTGTTTATATTTCTTTGATCCCTCCCCTCTTCCTGCATTTTGTTGTCACTGGTTTTGTCTGCATA